AAAAAGATAAAAGCCAACTTGACATTGATTGTCAGTATGAGTATACATGTATACATTCATGTTTTGAGCATAACACTATATTTTATTTTAGATCAGTGTGCAGCTATCATTCCATCAAGGGGAATGATGCAAAGCGCTGTTCCTAGATAAAATATTCTTCTATGTCCAGAGTTCTAAGTTTAATGTTTGTTTGTGCAGGATGTGTCTTGGCATCTTTTACATGAGAGTTTGTTTGGATCAGTGGCTGATGATCACAAACTTATGATGTGAGTACCAAAGAAAGAGAATTCAGAACAGACAAGATCACTTATTTGATGATACTTGTTCATCCACGTAATGTTAGGTCTGAAACCAGGAAAGAGGTTGCATGTTTAGTATAATATTGGCAGTCATCTGTTGTGATAAGATTTTTACTCATAACGCAAAGTGAGCCATCTTTGAGAAAAAAAAAAAAGGATTTTTTTTGGTGAGAGGCTGTGAAGGAAATTGCAGAAATGAAACCTGAAAAGATTTATGCTTTGATGGGATTCAAATTTGTACCTCCATTGTACAGTTTACTTCCTTGATACCAGTAGGGTGCTACAACCAACAGAGCTTTAAAGCCACAAGTTAGGAGGGAGGCAAATTTTTAAGGGTTCTTTGTTCTTGTTAACGAATCTCATTGCAATAAAATTGAATGAAAAATATTGTGACTTTTGGATAAGATTCAAGAAATGATCTCAGCAGATGAGCTGCAGCTGAAGAAGATGCTGGAAAAAAGTGTGACAAAATTCAGGCACTGATGGGATTAAAACACATGCTTCCCTGATACAACCTTTCTTTACTTGAAAATTATCTGCAGGTCATGATATTCTGTTCTTCCTTTTTATTATGACTAGAGCCATTTTTGAGGTGAAACCCCATATGCTTGCAAAACTCATCTTATTTATGAATAATTCACATTTGTGACTTGCTATTAAATGCTATTTCTTTCTGCAGCTGGGATACTCGCTCAAATAACAGCTCCAAAGCAACACACACAGTGGATGCCCACACGGCTGAAGTGAGTGAAGTGATTGTTGTCCTTCTACACAAAGTCATTAAAAAAATTAAATTTCATTGTTCATTTTTCCCATTTACCCTCTTCTAAAAGTGATTTTGTATTGCTTTTTTTTTTATTTTTTTTTATCTCTTTTGTAGGTAAATTGTCTGTCATTTAATCCATACAGTGAGTTTATTCTAGCAACAGGATCAGCAGATAAGGTGAAAACATTGTATGTTTTAATTAAAGAAAAAAGAGGTTTATTGCAAATTAACTTAGGATTTGCGGCTGCTTTAAGTTGTCTCTGAAAGGGAAAGAAAAGTGATTTTCTTGGTGCACCCAGAACATCAAAACAGGTGATTCAAAATTGTACAAGTCAAGAGAGGTTGTGAGCCTAATTTTATTGTGAATGGTGCACAACTTACAATCCAGTTGATTTAATCTTCCAATGTGTATGTTTTGCTATCACTGATCTCCTGCCAAGATCTTGTGTAATTCTCTCAAAGCCTATGAGGAATTTTTAATTGTTTAAAGCAGTGAAGGCTAAATAATGTCTCCTCTACTTATTTAAATTATGTTGTTCTTTTTTATATATCAGACTGTGGCATTATGGGACTTAAGAAATCTCAAACTAAAACTACATTCCTTCGAGTCACACAAGGATGAAATATTCCAGGTCCAATGGTCACCGCATAATGAAACAATCTTAGCTTCAAGTGGCACGGACAGAAGATTGCATGTCTGGGATCTGAGGTACAATGATCACTGTTATATAGTGTGTGTCACTGTTTCACTGTTATAAGATAATCTAAGTTGAGAGGGCTTTACTTGGATGAATGTTACTGAAGCAGACTGTTAGGTTGCTTGAGATTGAAGATGTCTTGAAAAGGACTCTTTTTGGTGACAGTGAGTAACATTTTTACAACTGCAGTTGAAGTTTTCATTTGAGTCAAGTGCTCAGCTTTGATGGTGACAGTAGGAATGGTGTTGAAATTTTAGTAACTGTTTGGTTTGAAGTTCATTTTGATTTCCCTGTTGTTAACCCTTCAGACCCTAACATCAGTATGCTTATTCTCCATACTGTGCTCTATACATTTCTCAAGGTGCTGATAAGGAGAATTTGTTTGGCAATCAAGAGTTTCTTCAGTTGGCGATCATTTCCTTTATTCTCATGACCTGAATGTGTGATTCAGGGGTGTTATTGTGAGGGGAAATTAGATGCTGATCACTCTAAGAGGTCAAAGGGTTAATTAGATACACAAGTTACTGTTCAGTCGTCAATAGCAGTCCTTTTCAGAACTACATGAAAATTATACACCTTTTGTGGATTATTGTAATATGAGACTGACTACTCCTCTTGGATTCAAACTATTGATTGTAACCTCAAAAGCTAAGGTTGTCTCGAACTTTGGCTAAAACAAAGACCTTTTTCAACCCTTTGGAGTTGAAATTTTTTTTGACTACAGTGATTAAAAGTTCCCATCATATTTCTCTTTCATAGCAAAATTGGTGAGGAACAGTCATCAGAAGATGCTGAAGATGGCCCCCCTGAGCTCCTGGTATGAAGTACTTTTCATTATTATTTGTTGTTGTTGTTTTTATAATCATTGTCAGTTCCACAGCTATACCAAAGTTCTGGCAAATGCATGACTAAACAGAACAATGAATTCTCATTGTTTTGGGAAGGTACACTTTGTTATGCTAGTGTTTCCAAGAGTTTATTTCAGTTTTCACCCTCACTGAGATTATTGTGCACACTTCCTCACTTATCTTCTTTTGAAATGTTTTAGTTCATTCATGGTGGTCACACAGCCAAAATTTCAGACTTCTCTTGGAATGCAAATGAACCTTGGGTTCTCTGCAGTGTCTCTGAGGACAACATTATGCAAGTGTGGCAGATGGTAGGTGAAACACAAAGCTGCTTACACATTTTCACATCATTAACCCTTTAACTCCCAAGATCTCATTAGTAATTCTCCTTATTGTCTGCCAAATGATTCTCATAATGTTAATTTTGAGAATTTGGTATCGGATCAATTAGTAAGCCCATAATTGATATTTTTCTTCATGACTTGTCTGCATGATATTAGGCTGATTTAGCAAGACAACAGGAACCTCACTTGACGACGGCACACGCAGTGCAATTACCCAAATATGGTCAAATTAGAACAGAATCCAGACTATTCCGCTTGCTCTCCCGTCGTCATCTGACATTCCCGTCCTGTTGCTAAATCAGCCTATTGTATAGGTATAGTAAGGAGAAATTCTGTCTTGGTCACTCATAGGAGTTAAAGGGTTAATATCAATAATTAAGTACATTTGGTGGAAATGGCATTCAACTGAGCAAATAAGGTACATTTAATAAACTGATAAAATGTGAGAAGGTTACCTGAGACCACCCCTGGTACCAGTTCTCCAAAGGGTGGATATTGCTATCCAGCAGGTAAATGGTTATCCAGCGTTTGAGTTTTAGCAAAATTTGCTGTGCTATCCACAGGTCACAGATTTTTCTAGTGGAAAGCATTATCCACTCTTTGAACAACCAGACCTCAATGACTACACTAGGTTCTGCGTAAACTGTTGATGGTCCTCTTGAGGGGTGGGTGTGGTCTTGGTGGCTGATTTTTTTTAACAAACTTATTTAGCATTCCATGTGTACAGTTGACTTTTGAACCATGTCAAGTCATCTGAGTGGGCGGAATGCAAAATAGAAATGGCAAGATCTCATAATTACCATAAAACTGACTGGTTACAGATGTTGTTTTAAGACCATTTCTTGTCAGATATTGATATCACTGTACATGAGAACTCACTTTTACACACAAAAAGAAAGTTTTTCTAAGACAACTGTCAAAGTTTGACAGTTGTCTTAGGTTGAATTTTTCACGTGAAGATAGTGACTTTCCTGTATTTACAGTTTTCACCCAGCCTGTTAAGTTTAATCCTGTGACCCATGAGAGTGAGAAGACAGGTTGCATGAAAATTTGCTCAGTTTATGAAATACCAGTTTCTCATCAGCCATATACCTGAAATAAGTTGACATCTTTTTTTTTTTTTTTTTTTTTTTTTTTTTTTTAATTGATCTCAATGTTTTTTTTTCCTTTGTTTCAGGCTGAAAACATTTATAATGATGAGGATCCTGACACTCCAGCCTCTGAGCTTGAGTCAGGTGCATCATGAAAGTTCTTGAGAAAATAGCCTATCAGTTAAAATATCATCTGTGAAAATCCTTTTAGCCTTGTACTGTGTTAAACTATCCTTATCAGAAGCAAAGTTTCTCAAAGTAGTCTTGTAGAGGAGGCCTTTACTACCCTAATTAGCGAACCCAGTTCTTTCTTCATTTAGGAAACACTTAGGCGGTGAGATCTAGTAAGGTTGTTTACACTGTAAATTTCTCCTCCTTCAACAACCTCCACATCAACGGCGAGAATAATCTGAGTCATGTTAGTAAAATTACAATCACTTTTATGGAAAACGGCGTCTTATGGACTGAAGCTACATGGTTTTTTGACAGGGGAAGCTCAACGGCAAAGGAGTCGCTAATACCACACGCAGGCTGTTTACAGTTGGTGTTATAGCTATCGGAAAAATTCGGAGTTTAGATCAGAATCTTTCTGTGATGTTAGCGCGCTCTGCTGCTAGGTTGTTCCTAGTCAATTCATACTGTACAAACGACATTTCCTGATGTTAACGGAAAGGCTGCACACCTTCCTTGTGGTAAAACTTGGATTTTTCTGTTAAAGAAACCCTAGATGAGCTGTCACTGTTCTTACCAATCAGTAAGAGTGTTAAACTGTTCTATTGAAGAAACTAAAGAGGTTTTGTTCGTTTATCTCTGAAACAGAAGCGTGGGTGTACTTTTCAAATGCTCGCAAGTTGACTTTTACTTTATAGGATGCATTTACAACTGCAATTAAAAGTTTACCATCACAAACTACATGTGACATCTTCAGTGATAAACAAACTAGCTTATTACTACTTATAATCGATACAAGTTCAACTGAAAATTGAGATAAGAAGTATTCTTACGTTTGTGAAACAAACGTTCATATAACCAGTTATCTGGGCTCAGATGAACACGTTTAGAGCGCTTCTCCATTGAGTGTCATAAGAACAAAACCAAAGTACTGTATTTAAGTATTTACAAAGGGCGAACAGAGAGAACGAAGATATCCTGAAGAGTTCACGAGAACTCATGGTAAAAACAAGCAATCCAAGTCATGATTGGTGTTAAGTAGAGAATGGCGTGAGCCTCCTGTATAATGACTGTTGTTGTTGTTATTATTATTATTATTATTATTATTATTATTATTATTATTATTATTATTATTATTATTGTTATTACTATAGTAATTTTCTGGGCCAGTCACAGAGCAAAGTAAAGCAAAAGCAAGGCAATCTCGGATTACTTTCGACACTCAGTTGAAAATTGCCCTAAAAACTGATGATGTTATGGCACCAATTAGCAGAGGGAAACGCAATCCGAACGTGTTCACCCCATTCACACAGAGCTTGTCGTCATTGTCGTTCATAAAAGTTATCCTGCCCTCTACGCCTGTCATAATGGGCGATTTTGCCTTGAAATAGTTTGCAATCACTCTGTCGACGGTAATGTTACCAACTTGGTGAGAAAGTTTCTTCTCGTCAATGGCAGTCAGACCCGCTCCACCTCGGACAATGTAAGACGAGAGGATCACTTTGTAAACAGTGGACAGGACTATTGGTTGATAGGAAGGGAATCTACAGGAAGCACAGCCGACCTGGATTTCTACGACTCGGCTACCTTCAGGCTTTTTCATGTCGTACTTTACTTTGAGTCCTAGAAAGTAGTGAGAAAAGGTTTATTGAACCCCTCTCTGGAGTATGCATCACCGTAGGCAACGTTATTTAGCAGTCAAAATTTATCGCATTCATGTAACTACGTTCCACTCGCCCATCCACGAGTTCCTGCAAACCAAAACCTGATCAAACACAATGCCCAATCAGAACAGAAGAGCTAAATAATATCAAACTATTAGAAGCGCGGGAAAACGCGGGTGTCCAAGTTGCGGCTGCTTTAAGTTTTGCATCTGATTGGTTGAAAGGGCGGCACGAGTTTTCTGGACCAATCGGAGGGCGAAGCAAAGCATACTCAATGCGATTCCTGGCTTTCGATTGAAATTAACCCAAATGATGTTTAAACTTGAAGAAAAAAGCACACAATTACCTGAGACTTGCAGAAATGAATTGCTGGGGTCGTTTTTATCATACAATGTAGCTACTTGTTCGAAGACCAGCGTAAGATCCTTGCCCGTGAGTTCCACAATATCGACAGTATTTCTATACGGGAAGCTGTTCACAACGTAACCGTAAGTGACAGCTTCTGTGTGGGAGAAATATAAGCGGGAAAAAAAATTAGTTGAAAGATCTCTATGCATGAAATTAACCGAACTCGTGTCAGTTTGTGAATACTGAAAGTATCTGGCTGTAAATAATACGATTTTATTTTTAATTTCCTTTCCTTACATTCCTCGTAGTTTTCTTCTCTCGAAATTATTCCCCTTCGAAATATTCAAGAAAAGTACCCCGCCCAGAAAAGACAATTTTGTTGAATACAGCAACAAGACTTGTTAGACATATATTTTGAGAAAGGTAACTTTGATTAGATCCTAAACCGGTTCTGCGAAGAAAACGTTTCTTCAACTTAAAATCTGCTCCGTCGGGTAGATACTCTCTTATTTTGTGACGTAATTACGAGCATGGAATGACAACCACCTCTCCCCCTTTCTCTTAATAAACATACTCTTACTCAGCCTCGTTCCAAGGGTCCTCTCTCGAGAAAGTATTTTCTCGCCAATAGAAGAGAGAGGACCCTGGGAACGAGGTCAGGTTGACTTTTACCTTGAGCACTGACGAACATTGATGCTGTAATGCTGCCACTATTCTGAAGTGCAATACTCGCTTCAGTCCACTGAGTTTCACTGGCAGTCAGGTTAGCGTAGTGGAAAACAAAGGCATCCGTAAAAAGGTTACCCAAATTGCATTCTTTCAACAGACAGTCTGGTTTTTCAGCGTTGAGGAAGACGAAACTCGTTCCCACTTTAAACTAAATTGTAAAAACGTTTTTTTTTTTTTTGTCATTTTAATGTTGCATGATCTCGTATTTATGTAAAGTGAAGTGCTTACGTGGCCTGTTCAAAGCAGACTGCAAGAAACGTGTCACACATGAACTTGGTAATGGCCTAACTCACTGAAAATTTCCCTGTAGCTCATGAATGGAGAAGCATGGCTCATGAATGGCGAGCGGAATCCAGAGGTCTAAGGGTCGACTCCTAATAGGATTTCAAAAAGTTTTTCTTTGTCTCGCGTTCGTGATAAGATGAGAAATCATCTCACCTCATTTTGAGTCGTTAAGTTTTTAAGTGTTTAGTTTTTTTTAGTATTTTTTTCATCCGTCTTTATTTCTTTTTATTTCTTTTTTTTTTACCCAAACAGATTCCAGGTTTGCACAGCGAATTGAAATCCAAGCTTTAAACCTGGCAGCTCCCTCTGATACTGACTTATGAAGCTCATAAACAAGAAGTGATACTCACGTCAACAAGTTCGGTCACTTTAGCCTTCATCTGTTGAACTTCTCGCTCTATTGTTGGATCCTTCGCAACCGAATTGTTTAGTATTATGGGATTCCCATTCCAGGAGGTAAGTTTACCATCACCATCAAACTCGACGTTTAAACGTCCTAGATATTTACCGTACATATAATCTTGAACAACCAACACTTTACCATCAGGGTCACTGTCTGGGGTAATCACTAGAGGATACGGGCCGTAAGGCTTTTGCGTGGAGGGTGGGGTACCTAAAATGTTGCATAGTAGGAAGAAATCGAACAGATTCATGCGAGAAGTTCAGGAATCAGTCTTTATTTGACGCCTCAGAGGGGGAGGGGTGGAGGATTTTGAGGGAGAACATAGTTTTCAGGGCATCAGTCGTCGCCGACAGAATATATAGAGCCGAGGGGACTATAGAAAATTGAGTGCCACTGAAATGACTGTCAGTGAGGGTATCAGAAGAATATTACAGAGCCTTACGAGAGGTATGAAAAATTTCATATCTTCCCCCCCCCTCATCTCCACCTGGAATGGAATTGAGCCATCGGATGTAGCGGAAATATATGAAGCTGGAAATTAGTTATACTTTCTTTCGCGGAAGCGTCGAAATTCGATGTCTACCGAAATGGAAGATACAATTGAATAGAATCCTTAGAGCGATAACATTTACTTCTTGGCGAGATCTTGGTAATAAATATCACATAATTTACAGAACAAAGGAAATCTATATCTTTAAATGTTTGGTTCTAATACGACTATTACCTGTGTAAAGGAAGGTGTTAGTATGTCCACCCACCACTATGTCGACTCCATCCACTTCTTTAGCAATTTTCTTGTCCATATCAATACCAGAGTGGCCCACAGCAATGATCTTATTGATGTTCTGCTTTTTTAGCTCCTGCACAGCACTCTTGAGTGATTCTACCTCGGGTAGAAATTTCACGTTTAGTCCTGGGCCAGGTTTGGAAACCCTTTCATAGACAGATGTAAAAAATGTATCTTAGTAAAAACGTCAAAGAAGGTGTTTTCTTAGTTCATAATCTGTTTTTCTTAATATGATGGATAGTGTATAAAGCATATACAAATTTGAGAATGCATAAAACAACTTTCTTCTTCCCTGAAGCAACTAGTCTCCTGCTTCTTATCGTCAGCGTGGCAACCTTAATTGGCCACTACGTTGCGCTACATTCCAACTAAGATATTCCAGCGAAGGACAGGAGACTTGTGTTTTTTTTTTCTAATTTCACGTGCAGTCAGTTTCTCAGTCAATAATAAGTCAAAGCTGTGACATTACCATTCTGTAAGAAAACAAATTTCGTGATCGACCACGTTCGCAGCAAAAAGGCTCTAAATCTTTGCTCTGCTTAATTATTTTATTTATTTACTCATTTGCTTCTTCGTTTATCCGCCTGGTTTACTACTCTCAGGCTTTGGTCTTTCAAAATATCTGAGTTTATGCTCATTTCGTACATTAAACGATATCGATCCTATAGATCGACTGCAAACCATCTCTCGGCCACAAATGTTGTGTATGAGCCTGTGTGCAATCATTATTATCGCTGAAAGACGCGCGTTTTTCCGACCCCGGGAAGATTTTAGACGAGTCGGGCAGAGGTTTGCTAGGGGTCTGGCACTAATAATGAATGCTAGCACCTTACCAGACCTCTCGCCGACTCGTGTTACTCTTAGTCTCATACTTTCCCGCGGGCGAAGAAACACTCTTGCCGAAGCGACAATAAAGAGGGCTTACTCGCAGTCACTTGATGAATCATCATCTCTTGACTCTGAGTGTACTGAGCCCTTCAGGAATTCTCTACTTGTTTTAATATAAAGCACTTGCGCGCATAATTCCGCCAGCTATGCAAGTTATTAGAACATTTGCTCACTTTGGCGTTTTTTGCAGTACATATCCCACAATTCCAATTTTTTCGCCTCCAACGTCAAAGACCTTTGACCTAACAAAGAGTGGAGGCAACTTAGGCCAGCTCGGCTCCAAGGAGACATTCAAGTTTGAAACCACAACGGAGAAATTCACAGCTTTTAGGAAGGCAACGAGATTGTCAACACCGTCGTCAAATTCGTGATTTCCGAGGGCCTAACAGAAAGGGAAAAGGAGATTAGTTTACGAGCAGCCCTTTTTCCTCTCAGATTAGTTCGACAAGCGAGCAGGAAATAAAAATTAAGAAATAGCGCCTTGTTCTTGTTTTGGGTTCGGGACAGGAGTGTTCAAGATCTTGTGCAATCACTAAGAGATTTTAAGTAATACTGAGAGTATCTATAGAATACTTAGTTCTTTACATGGACTGGAACAGGTCGACGGTGTATTTTCTTCCATGCTCTTACAAGGACTTCTTCGATTTCCGGTGGTCTGCTCTGTGCAAAAATTTAGAGATTTGGAACGAGAACGAGAACGAGACGCGAGGGAGACAGGGTGTGTTTTGGGAGTCTCTTGGAGTCTCTTATCCTAGCTCCTTTTCTCCATAGGAAACTTTGCATCGCCTGCCCATCGTCAAAAGACTGGCAGTCCGGATTACTAGCAACCGTTGGTAAAGAGTTTCTGAGGGACTGGGGTGGGCTTAAAACTCGAGTTCACTCAGTCTAGTTTTGTTTAAGAAACTCTGTGATTAGCGACCGCTTAATTCGTAACCTACAAATTCTGCCTTTTTGGAAAGTATTTGTGAACAAAGGTCCCCGCTAAAATTCTAGCACAGGCGCAAAGGGCACTCACGACAACTTGCGTGAATCGATGTCCTCGATCGATGACAGGCCTCGGCTCACTAATCATGCTATTTAAACCGGTATGAATTAAAGTGGAAAAAAAAACTGTATACCATGGCGTCGTATCCAAGTTCATTCATGAATTTCCTTGAAGCATTTCCACGATAGGCTAGATACCACAGCGTTCCCGTAAACACGTCTCCGCCAGAGAGAAGCAGCACGTTTTTCTCCTCCCCTCGAATCTTTTTTATCATAGTGGCTCTCCTCGCCACTCCACCAAAACACTCTCCTGCTTTTGCCAATCTCGGGAAGCAAAGGCCACCGCTGGTGTCTGTTTCTTCGAATCGGCCATGATGGTCGTTCGTGTGCAATACAGTCAACGAATATCCATGAACCATGGAAAATCCAAATGATATCAGCAGTACAGCGGTGAATGCTTTGAATAGCAAGACAGCCATGCCGAACAGAGCCCGATTTAGAGCCAGTCGTACCTAAAAAATTCAGATATTATTTTGAGAAATTGGAGACGCGTATATACTTTTTAGGTAACGCCAGTACGCGCTTAAAATGGCCCTGTATTTTTGTTACGGTACAAAGGCCTGACGATGATCTCTGAGGAGATAATAAGATTTTGTAATGCGCAGCTGTAAAATAGTAAATTTCTATTTGCGAAATATTGAATTAATAAATATCATTATTATTAAGATTCTGTGTCTAAAATGGAATAAAAAAAATTGAAGGTCTTTTGTTTTCTGTCACAATACCTTCTCGTTACCAAAATACACAACACTTTCCCGTTTCCTCATGGTTTTTTTCCCTCTATTCATCTTCATGCGACGGGGAAGTGCGGAGAGTAACTGGCCATTATTGTCTAGCTATCACCTTAAAAGATGTGTCTGCGATATTTATCGTGTTATTTATTTATGTTGTGCATTGTTAATTGTGTCGTACAGACGTTATGTAATGCTGTTTATATGTTTTTATATGAGAGATCAGGTCATGTAAACAAACCTCAAAACCAAAATTAGTGCGTTCAGCTAAAAATTTCTCACGCTTCGTTGGCTTTTTTTCCTTAATTCACTCACATTTCTAAAAGATGTCCGGTGTTTACAGTTTTAGGAGCTTCACAGTAACGCCTTTGACTTCCAGGATTGTTCAGTATGTAAACTCTCCCTAGCGTTTTAATTCATCGTTAAGTGGATAGGTTTTAAGAACTGCACGAATAACAACATCCAGTCCAGTCCAGTCTAATTTTTGAAAAATAGCAGAATGTTGCACTTTTTCCAAGAACGGTATGAACGGACTTGACATGGAAAAGACTTCGCAGCGCCTGTTTTTTCCTTTTTTTTTTAAGTGAATCAAAATTGAAGGCTTAGAGAAGAGTTGGCTCATGTACGGTGGTAATTTACAATACTGAAGTACTGTTATTAAAAAGGTGATCTTGTTATTCCTTTTTTTTTTCGAAGCGAAAACAAACTTAAAAAACACAATAGTCACTGATAATCACCCGTTGCAGTTATACTAAACACTTTTCTCATCGAGCTCATCGATTATAATTGTCAATCAAATTCAGCGACAAGGTAACAAAATGACTTAATGGTTACACAACAAATAAACGCTTTAAAGCCCCAAAGTCCCGCCTCCACTATGCGCCAATTCTAAGGCTTATACCATATTTAGTTATTAGCAGGTGGTTTTATGCCATTGAAAATCATTTGACACCGCAGCTGGGGGAAACTTTGGAAGACTTGTTACACAATCTGTTTAATATAAGAAGTGGTTTAATTATGCCCGCATGAAAATATTATGCACGAAGTTTGAAGAGTCGAGGACTTCCAACAGTGCATTCGAAGGGGCATCTTGATAACGCATCTTGGAGAGGCAAAGTAAGACTTTTATTTTTATTCACTAAACTAAAAGAAATGCGATCCGATACAACCCATCATCGGTGCGATACTAGTCGTCATGATGCTACACTAATTGTAAGTTACCGAGAACTCTCGCAATGAATAACAAAACGAAGAAGGAAAGATATGTTGGTTTAAGTTAGCAGTGTGTGATGAGCTTCTTAAAGATGATTTTCGTCGATGCTTAAATTCATTTTTCATAAATTGATCCTTGAATCAGTATAAGATACATGTTACCACGAAAATTTATTACAATCATAACATTAAAAACTTTAAATTAGTCAACAACGTACACTGAATGCGCTTAGGTTATTTGCTGTCTTCGTTACAGAAACGCTGCAAGTCCCCAGAAACATCGCACTGTCTCAAAGGTAAAATTATATATATATATATATTTTTTTTTTTTTTTTTCTTAATCCAACTTTTTCAAGGAAGACCAGCGGATAATGTTCAAAGTTTGATTCTTCGTCTAGCGTTTCCAAAACTAAAGTAGACTGATTCACATTCAGACTGAAATGAATTCTTGATGATCAAAGAAATGTGACATCAGTTATCCTATTTTTGATCTGTATGTTTTTAATTCTCAGTCTAATTTCGTTGATAGCCTTGAAATTAAATTTAAAGCCAAATTAAGCAAATGACTCGCCTTCACAAAGCGCATTTGTTTTTTTCGTTACAAATATGGCCGTACCCATAAAGTTCTTCGTCATTTCAATTCATAAAATGAATTTTAGATTATTATTTTTGGGGCTTGCGCTCCAGACTTAGTTCGATGGATTGCAATTCGAGCCCTGGTCATACATATTTTTGTGCTCTTGGACTAGAAACAGAATCTTTCCGTCCTCTAACCACCCAGGAATACATGATTGAGTATCGGCGTGTTGCCAGGGAAACCTGACAAAACGGGAGGGGGGGGGGGGGGCGAGACGTCACCCTTTGACTGCCTACCATCCCATCTTGGGAGAGTAGCATTAGTGCTATCTCTTGAAGCTAAATGTACCGGACTAAGCCCTAATCTACTTGGATCCTTATTAGATTTGATTTAATCAATATTTTTCTGAAAATCTATCACAGAGCTCTTCTGCTGTCGTTTAAGCCAGCATGGATGCCCGATTTACTCCGACCAGTCCCCGCTCGTCAGCCGTATCACCAAGATCGGGCTCCGCGATAAGCAACCTACATTCAGAAGTGCTGAGAACAAAGGTGCTCAAAAGTCGACTGTCGCAATGGAAGCTTAAGACTAGTGGCGACTCTCCGTCACCGACTAAGAAGACACCGTAAGTAGTCATTAGGGGACATGAGAAACACTCCTCGGTGGGTGTTTCATTTCATTGGTTTTCACATGATGTGTCTTACGATTATTTTACATGATGAAAAACGTGATTTAAAGGGTAACTGACGCCAAATTTTTCTCCTTTTTTGTAAATATTAATTACAAGAAGCGGAAGCCTCCGCCTTGAACCATGTGTAGCTACTAGGAGCCCCTGTAGCTACTCAGCTACTGGGAATCTGAAAAAACCGAAAAAATAACATTTCATTTTTTTCCAGTTTTCATTTCCATTATACTTTTCAAAGTTTCCTCGAAATTCAAGGAATAATAAGAAATAAGAAGAAGGTTACACTGGTGATTTTGCTTCTACCTATCCTACCTCAACCCCTATTGCAGAACACAATCCAGCGCGTTTAACTTGGCCGAGTGGTACTGAGGAGAGTATCATCGGTTGACGTGACAACAAAGCTTTGCTTTGTCGAAGATCAACTTTTGTTCAAAATCCAAAATACTTGAAAATTTGGATAAATATGGCCTCTAAGGCAATGAAGAAGAAAGAATCCAAAGAGAGAGTTGCCTCTGCTGCCAGAACCATTCCAGAGTAAGGAAATTTATTTCTGTTTTGACTCGATGCCCGGCAAACTTCGCGTTGAAAATGACATGACCTTCAAACTTGATCCATGCGGACATCTTGGACAATTCTCGACCTAGATTGTTAATATATATTTAACATAGAAGTCTAAGCTATATAGAAGTATAACTATGGATAAATTTTTCATTACATCAAGAGTTTAGGTAGCTTGGAGCATTTGTAGATAGTTGAAACAGGTTTGGTGTAAGTTAGTCAGAGACTGTGATATTTTCGGTTCATCTCATCAAGATACACAACCTGATTATTTTAAAGAGTTTTCGGTCGAATGTTGTTATTTATTTTCAGCCTTTACTTTCACTGCATTTTGAAATAATATTGTACCAAAGGTATCTCGCCTTTTCCCTATGAAAACAAAGAAATCAAGTCAATTTGTGAGAGTCTCACCGGGATTTCACACATAAATAATGAGCTCCTACACAGCTATACTTTGAGCTTACAATCGTTGGTCCATGACAAAAAACAACGTTAGAAATGCGAGTATGTTCTTAACTGTATTTCATCTTGTTTCCTGAATGCAATATTGAGGCAGATAACGTTTTGTGACGTTCAGCACTAATTATAGGTTGTGACTTTGAGGTATTAGGTTCCTTGTGGTAAAACTCTCCGGGATGGTTTCCATGAGAACAATAGTGAAATGAAATAAGACAAAAAGACCATCGTATTGCGCGCGATCTTAACACAATTTGGCACGTTAACAAATAAGTGCTGTCAACTAAAGGCAACGGGATATTAAGCTTGCAAACAAGCTCGTCTGTTGTTGTGATAGCAATAAGTTGAATGTGAGGTCACTGGTTCCCCTTCTAAATTTCGCGAAAGATGAGTTCACGAGGATCTCAGTGGAAGGATTTGAGACTCGCCACGGTATCCTCCGCCAAATTTAGGCAAGTTGAAGAAATTTTTTTCTTTTCTACTGTTTCAATACACACAGGAACATGCAACACCTGCTTGAGTTAGCTGGATTCATTTCTTTGCGTGCGAAATATTCACGTGAGATGTAAAATCTGTTACAGCTATCCATGCATGGGATCTGGTTTTTGGAATCGATCAACCGATTGTCTTTCTCAATACTTAATCTTTTACGATAGATAGAATGAGCTGCACGAATCGATTAAATTATGAATTCGACTAGCGGTTTTTGCCTCGTGAATATAAAGGACCACATTACCTTCAATCATTTTTAACTTACCGGGACTATCGATGTTTAACTTTTAGGACCCTGCGAATCTCAGAGACAAAAGCAATAATTGTACGTTTCTTTTGATCCAGTTGTTTTTTATACTTCTGTATGTCTTTCAGAGTCTTTACAGCTTTTCATTTTTAATATGTGTGTTCATTTTCGAAATTAACTCGTTTATTGCCACATGGCTGTAATAATATTTGGTTTGACATAATTTCAATTTGCTGTCAAAATTGGCATATTTATTTTTGCTACCAATAACAAAGGCTGGATATCTTTTGCAAAAGCCCTTTTAGAATATCATTGTTTACTTTTGAAGCCTTGGCACAATACAAACAAACACACTTCATTTACATACATGGGTGATTAGAGTGAATTCTTAAAAACAGATCTGCATAATTTTTCCTAATGTCACAATTTTCTAATCATTCATTCAGAATGACTTAGGGAAGAATGATTTACTTTTTATCATAAAGAGCCTTTAAAGCTGTACATATCTCTCTCTAATTTTCCATTGTTTAGTTTGTAAAAAAACCTTACACTATGTTGCAGTTTCTCTGGTTGTAGTTACTGTTGATGTTTGAGAAGCCTTGCAAACATAATCCTGAGCATTAATTCAGTATAATTTCAAGTTATTTCAATTCCCAAATGATTTTGCATTGTTTTCTAGGCCTATAATTTCCTTTTTCAAGTTATTTCATAATTGAGTTAGACCAACAGAGAGTTATTGTACTTTTATACACAGAGAAATTAATAATCCTTTTCAGTGACATTGTTAATTAATCTAAGGTGAAGTGAACTTCTTGTACATTGAAATTTGCGTTAGTTTATCAGCACAATGGCCATGTATGGCTTGAACATGTAT